AATTACACAAAATATGAACATTAATTTTCAAGTTCAAATAAAAGTTTTCAAATTATCGAAGTGATATTAAAATGAAAGAATATATGGGAAATTTATGGTTCTAGTTCTTTGTTCATTAATTGAGTATTCATAAACACTTCTCTACCACTTAATTTAGAAGTTAAATTATTTAATTAGTTCTAGATTTAATTTGTACGTATAATCCATCTCATATTAATTGTGTTGTTCGATTAAAATTAGATTTGATGAAAACTAATTGAATACTCAATCCTTATGTAGTCGCTATTTGAATCTACGTCCACTTTATTACTTTTTTACGATATCGCCTACTTGCATAATTTACTAAAGCTATAAGATTTCGCATGCCATAACAGTTAACATCACAACATTCCATATGTAGTACTAGGAAATAAAAAATAAGTCTTTATCACCAGATTTAAACATGTTTCTATTTCATTATCTTGTCAATACTTCACAGTCAAGAACGCCAAATTTCCCATAAAAAAAAGTACCAATATTTGAATTCTAAAGCTATATCTCATAGGACATAAATTTTAGCATTGAAAACATCTGCAGAACCTCACAAGATTTTAACTTCTTTTATTCAATATTATTGTCGACAATCAAGCATGCCAAACATCCCATAAAAGTTAGCATGGCAAAATTGAAATTCTATAAGATCTCTGTTTCTGCATTCGATTCAGCTATCTGCACCTAAATCTGTATAAATATATGTATTCCCATAAGCTGTGAGCAAGTTAGGGAAAGAATGGCTCCATTGGAATTACAACGTACAGAGAGCACATCATTCTTCAATTTTCAGCATTTCAAGAACATGGTATAAAGCAAAAGAAATTACAAATCCAAGGCTCACAGCAGCAACAAGAACTCGTGCATTAATCGTACCAAGATTATCAAGTGCATCCACCTATTGGTAATTGGATAATATCATTCCACTTTCTTTCGGATATATAGGCATTCATCTAAAAATAAACAAATCTGTAATCAACAGCATGTGGGATGTTAAAAAATAAAGTTCCTTGAATGAAGATTTTATTCAGACATTAAACCATACGGTTACATAGAATATTACATTACAGGAGGTCACACGGGACAGTTCATGACTAGGGACTTGCAAAACCAGGGCTTGGGAAGGAAAAAACAACCCCTCCAGAGGAGATAAGGTTGTCATGGCTCACAAAAGAAGCTGCTGCCACGGCCAATGCCCAAAAAGCAAGGTGACAAACCTAGAACTGCCAAATGCAACCACAATAGAAGGGATCGAAGCTTTGGAAGCAAACCCAAAGTTCAGGTACTAAAACACAAGCATTCGGCAATGTTGATGGCTTGGTAAAATTCAGAGCCGGGAGACCCAAAAAGAGAAGATATGCAGAAGGAAAAATAAAAAATGGAACTAGGAACACTTGAGAATCTAAAGATCCAGAACCCAAACCATTGTTCTCAGCCAAGCATGACCATAAAGAAAAATGGCTCCAATGATCGAAGCCAAAATTCTTGAAACAGCTTTACAATGAAAAAAAAAAAAAGCTGCAAAAAAAGAGTTACATGCCATACTTAGCTGGAAAAAGTCAACTGGGATACTGAAGCTCGTGAAGATCAATGGTGATGGACCCTAAAACTACGCTCACTACAGCTATTACCAAGATATTTTTCTCAACAAGTTGAGATTCCTGTAATAATTCTTGTCTGTGATCAGGATTCTTCAAATTGGATGCTTATTTAGGCAAGTACATCGCAACTCCAGAGCTGCTCCACAAGTAAATCAACAGCACCACGGCTGATACCATGACAGTGCTGGATGTTCAAACCAACTAAGGTCTGACACAAAATCCCCAATGAAGCTAAGCCTTTGTCAGTGACCAATGAGCACCCCGAGAGGGAAAGTATCTGTAAACTGAGGTGCGCTGCACCAGCCAAGGCTGCTATACCAGAATCAGTTATTCCACACTCGGAGACATCAAGTTCACTTAGCAATGAGCAATTGTCTGCAATTTCCACCAAGCTAGCATCAGTGATGTGTCTGCAGCCATCAAGATTCAGAAGCTCAAGAGTGCTCCCATGCATCTTAACAATGTCCAAAACCACGTTGTCCGTCAAATTCACACATCCGCTGAGATTTACCTTAGTAAAAGAATCGTCAGAGTTCTTAACAAGAGATAGAAGCCCCTCATCAGTTATTCCATGAAGCCCCACAAGATTCAAATGTAACAATTTGGTGCACAGTCTTCCCACTATGGCCAAGCCAGCATTACCAAATCCGGGGCAGTTACGGATCGTCAAATATCGCAACGAATCGCATAGAGACATAGATGGAAATTTAAATTCTGTGTCCCTAATTCCCAAGCAGTTTGCCATGACAAGAGCCTTCAGTTTCCTACTATTTCCAAGAATACCAAAAACTCCGAACTGGGTAATCCTGTGGCATTCCTCTAATTGAAGACTTTCAAGCGACCCTGCAGTTTTTACAAATGAAGCTAATCCTTTGTCTGATAGGAGTGGACATTTTCGGAGGCAAGTCTGCTTTAGATTTGGGCAACCTTTGCCCATGGATTCAAGCCCTACATCGGATACTCCTCTGCAAGCAGTAACTGCAAAAGATTTCAGCTTCTGCAAACCTTGTCCACTACCCATGGCCCAGAATCCTCTCTCGTTCACATTTTGGAGGCCGGCAAGTGCTAGGTCAGTCACTTCATGTCCATAGTATCCAATCACAGCAAGAGACACATCAGTGATATTGAGTGCCTGAAGCTTAACCTTTGTCAAGACACGACCAGCAGATGAAAACATATTTGCAATTCCTTGATCCCCAACAAGTGGGCAGTTTTTAACAGCGATGGACTTCAAGTTGAGGCAAAAACGACCCAAAGCTAGCAGGCTTTCATTCCCAATGTTCAAACAAGATTCTACTGTCACCGAGGTCAGATTAGGACAATTCTTTGCAATAGCGATCAAACCTTTGTCAGTAATTGTTGGGCATTGACAAAGGTCAAGCTTCTCCAGCAAATGACACCCATTTGCAATCTCGAATAAGCCTTCATCATCAATTGATGAGATGTTCCACAAAGAAAGAGCTCTTAAAGAAGGGCAACCACGAGCAATGGCATTGAGGCCGAGGTTTGTCACTCCTTGAACGGGAGTTGCTCCTCTAACTGAAAGCTTGCCCAATCCTCCACGGCTTCCTGTTCCAACAGCAATTGCAGCAAGTCTCACATCTGTAGCTTTTTTCCCTTCTAAGCATCTTGAAAGATATCCATTGGCCTCCATCTCTTGATCTTCCTCAGCTTCAGCTGTAATTTCATTTGAATCAATGTATCCACCTTTTTGCTCTGACTCAGTAGGCTTATCTTCCTTCCTAGTACTCAAACTTTTCTGAGGCTCAACAGATTGGGTGATTTTGTCAGTACAAAGTTCATCTCTCCGGATGCTGCTTAAAAGCATGAGCCAGTGCTTGGAGACACAGGCACATATATTCCTCTCTAAGCCCCCGGGAAGATGTCTGAATACCTCAAAGAGGCATTCATCAGGAAGAACTTCAATGGATGACTTCTTCTTCTGCTCCCCGCTGACAACAAATGGGGCACTGACACGAGATCTCTTTCGAGGAGGAAAATAAACATCCGCATGATGAGCAATGGGCAAAATAAGACTTGTATCCTTGGGATATGGGAATAGGAAACCCCCAGTGCTAAAATCACCAGCACCTGAAATCCATGATGCATAAAAGAATGTCAGGCAATTCACAACTATATATCTACTAAATTTCAAATGAGATTAAGAAAAATATATTTGGATCTAATGTCCAGCATTAAAAAAATATGCCACCTTCTAAGTCAGCATATATATAGTTAAGATAGAGCCTATAAGTATTGTCATGTAGTTTATCCATGATCCAACCATATATCCAGTTAATTCGGAATTTATCAATAAATACAAAAGATTTTAAGAGTTGTATGCTGAAAGATAATAATTTGCTTCCCAAAGAAAAAGGTAAATCCAGCTCAAGACATAAACTTGAAGCAAAATCCAGATATGATTTGCATATATGTGCCTACAACTTATATTACCGTAATCAAATGCCTTTAGCAATTAACATTGTAGTCAACATGAATGCATATTCCAAGAAAATATCAACCCATAACAAAAGGCAAAAAAAAAAAAAAAAAAAAAAAAAAAAAAAAA